TTTTTGTTTTTTCTTTTTTTTTTTTTTTTTTGAGACAGCATCTTACTCCCTCCTCTAGGCTTGGGTGCAGTGGCAGGATCTCATCTCCCAGGTTCAAGCGATTCTCCCACCTCAGCCTCCCAAGTAGCTTGCTCGAAGTACAGACACACTTCACCACGCCCAGCTAATTTTTGTATTTTTAGTAGAGATGGGGTTTTACCATGTTGGCCAGGCTGGTCTTCCAACTCCTGACCTTAAGTGATCTACCTGCTTTGGCCTCCCAAAGTGCTGGGATTACAGGCATGAGCCACCACACCTGGCCCCATGTTTGTTTATGGAATATTTTTGGGGGGGTTAAAAGGGAAATTGAAAGGAAACCGTTCCCATCTATGGTTAAGCCTATAAGAGCAACAATAAATATAATATGCTAAGAACTTACATCAGACATACTTCTGCATATGCTACATGTATTAAGTCATTTAGTTCACACAGAGACCAGAGAGTGAGAGACCTTTATTCTCCCCATTTTGCAGATGAGGGAAGTAAAACCAAAAAGATCAAAGTCACAAAGCTAGAAAATGTTTTTTTTTTTTTTTTTTTTGAGACGGAGTTTCACTCTTGTTACCCAGGCTGGAGTGCAATGGCGCGATCTCGGCTCACCACAACCTCCGCCTCCTGGGTTCAGGCAATTCTCCTGCCTCAGCCTCCTGAGTAGCTGGGATTACAGGCACGCACCACCATGCCCAGCTAATTTTTTGTATTTTTAGTAGAGACGGGGTTTCACCATGTTGACCAGGATGGTCTCGATCTCTTGACCTCGTGATCCACCCGCCTCGGCCTCCCAAAGTGCTGGGATTACAGGCTTGAGCCACCGCGCCTGGCCCGAAAATGTTTTTTTAAGCTGGACTTTGAACCAGGCCATCTGCCTCTTCTCTTCCATGCCTGGAGTCATGCTTATAGGAAAGTTAGCCAGGCGCTCAGATGAAGTTGCGAGTCTCTGACCTCTGACGTCTTCATTTCCCAAATGCAGGCCTTTTCCATGTTGGTGGCGGTGGCAGGAACTCCTGCTGAGAGCGAGGAAGGGCCAGGGGAGCCAGTCACTCACCATCCTGGAGGATGGGAGGAGAGCTCACTTACAGTATGCTTGGGCCTCCTTAATGGGGAATTTCCTGCCAGTTGAAGAGTGGTGTTTTCCCAAGTTTGTAGTGAACTCTGGGGCACATGACTCAGTTCCTACATTGGACTATGATTGTTTTTAAAAACATGTTTTCCATTTTGCTTAGCATGATGAATGCGCCTCCACAGTAAACTCACAATTTTCAAACTTGTCATTGAGGAATGTAATGTCTGGGTAGGCATATGTGTGTTGGGGAAAGGAGGGTCATATTTCTGTGCTTCTCTGGTGTGTCTTTTTTTTTGGGACGGAGTTTCGCTCTTGTTATCCAGGCTGGAGTGCAATGGCGCAATCTCGGCTCACCGCAACCTCCATCTCCTGGCTTCAGGCAATTCTCCTGCCTCAGCCTCCTGAGTAGCTGGGATTACAGGCACGCGCCACCATGCCCAGCTAATTTTTTGTATTTTTAGTAGAGACGGGGTTTCACCATGTTGACCAGGATGGTCTCGATCTCTTGACCTCGTGATCCACCCGCCTCGGCCTCCCAAAGTGCTGGGATTACAGGCGTGAGCCACCGCGCCCGGCTTTTTTTTTCTTTTTTTTTTTTAAGAAACAGAGTTTCACCATGTTGGCCAGGCCGGTCTTGAACTCCTGACCTCAGGTGATCCACCTGCCTTGGCCTCCCAAAGTGCTGGGATTACAGGCGTGAGCCACCGTGCCCGGCTTTGGTGTGTCTTTCATTGGGTTTTCCTTTTTTAAACTTTCTTCCTTGTGCTTGCTTCAGCATTACCCATACTAAAATTGGAATGATATTGAGATTAGTGCGGCCCTGGCCAAGGACAGCAGGAAAATTTGTGAAGCACTCCATAAAAAAAGTAAAAAATGTGAAAATGAACTTTCTTCCTTGTTTTTTTGAAATCTAGCTAAAAGATTAAAATTTGTCCTAACTTGGCCAGGTATATTGGCTCACACCTGTAATCCCAGCACTTTGGGAGGCTGAGGTGGGTGGATCACTTGAGGTCAGGAGTTTGAGACCAGCCTGGCCTACATGGTGAAGTCCCGTCTCTACTAAAAATACAAAAATTAGCCAGGTGTGGTGGTGCACACCTGTAATCCCAGCTACTCAGGAGGCTGAGGCAGGAGAATCACTTGAAACTCAGAGGCAGAGGTTGCAGTGAGCTGAGATTGCATCACTGCACTCCAGCCTGGATGACAGAGTGAGGCTCCGTCTCAAAACAAAAACAAAAACAAAATTTTTTTTTTTTTTTTTTTTTGTCTAACTCCACAGGCTCCACAGGGACTGCTCTGAATATATTCCCCTTTTAAAGTTGATAGGAGGGCCAGGCATGGTGTCTCATGCCTATAATCCCAGCACTCTGGGAGGCCAAGGTTGGAGGATAGCTTGAGCCCGGGAGTTTGAGACCAGCCTGGGCAACATGGTGAAACCTCATCTCTACTAAAGATACAAAAATGATCTGGGTATGGTGGCACATGCCTGTAGTTCCAGATGCTTGGGAGCTCAGATGGGAGGATCACTTGAGCCCAGGAGGTCAAGGCGGCAGTGAGCCAAGATTGTGCCGCTGTACTGCAGCCTGGACGACAGAGCAAGACTCCATCTCCAAAATATAAAGTAGATAGAATATGACTTTGTCTAGAATGGCTCCCGAGATAATCAGATTTGTTTGGGTCAGATCAGAATGTCTTCTGCCTTACTTCCCATGAGGTGGGACCGGCTCACTAGGGGCCTTTTCTGTATATGCACTTATACCCCAGCATCCCTGTAGATCCATTCTGCTCCCAAGTGAGTTTAACCCCAATTTTGAGCCACAGAGATAATTTCTTTGTGGTCCTATGTTAGAAATGAAGAAATCAGAACTCAGTTTGGAACTATCACTAATATCACTCAGCTGGTAAACAGTAGGGATAGTTTTTCTACCCTTACTAGTAAGTAGAAAGAGGTAGGCTGTGGAATGTCAGTAAGCATGTGAGTTTTCTTGTGGTGTGTTACATATGACGTTAACCTTGCCGAAGATGTGTGTTCCAGATGACTCATTTCTTTTGTTTTTTCTTTTTTCTTCTTTTTTTTTTTGTTTCTGAGACTGAGTCTTGTTCTACACTGGCATGATCTCAGCTCACTGCAACCTCTTCCTCCGAGGTTCAAGCAATTCTCCTGCCTCATCCTCCTGAGTAGCTGGGACTATAGATGTGTGTCACCACGCCTGACTGATTTTTGTATCTTTAGTAGAAACGGGGTTTCGCCATGTTGGCCAGGCTGGTCTTGAACTCCTGAGCTCAAGAAATCCGCCCACCTCAGCCTCCCAAAGTGCTGGGATTACAGTTGTGGGCCACCATGCTTGGCATTGTGTCGACTCATTTCTTTTCACAGTCACCTTCTGCCCCGCAGAAAAAAAAAAAAAAAAAAAAAGCAGCTGGGTGTGGTGGCTCACGCCTGTAATGCCAGCACTTTGGGAAGCTGAGCTGGGTGGATCACCTGAGGCCAGGAGTTCGAGACCAGCTGACCAACATGTCAAAACCCCGTCTCCACTAAAAATACAAAAATTAGCTGGGCATGATGATGCTTGCCTGCAGTCCTAGCTACTTGGGAGACTGAGGCAGGAAAATCATTTGAACCCAGGAGGCAGAGGTTGCAGTCAGAGATCATACCACTGCATTCCAGCCTGGGTGACACAGCGAGACCCTGTCTCAAAAAAAAAAAAAAAAAAAAAAAAGCCCTCAGGTCGGGTGCAGTGCTCCCGCCTATAACCGCAGAGCTTTTAGAGGCTGAGGCAGGCGGATCATGAGGTCAGGAGTTCGAGACCAGCCTGACCAACATGGTGAAACCCTGTCTCTACTAAACATACAAAATTAGCCGGGTGTATTGGTACATGCCTGTAATCCCAGCTACTTTCGAGACTAAAGCAGGAGAATCGCTTGTACCCGCAGGCAGAGGTTGTAGTGAGCCGAGATTGCACCATTGCACTCCAGCCTGGGCGACAAGAGTGAAACTCCATCGAAAAAAAAAAAAAGCCCCCTTTTTAAAATTATACTTCTGGTTCAGTGAATCTAGCCTTTTTCTGGATCAAGGATTCCTTTAAGAATCTGATGAACACTTTAAATTCTCTCCTGAGAAAAATCTGTCAGCACACCGCAGTAGTCAGGATAGGCTAAGTGACTCCAGAGGAACAAGCAAGTCCAAAGTCCTAGTGACCTAAAACAGCAGGTTTATTTCTCACTCAGACTGTATGTCCATCAAAGGCTGGATGAGAGTTTTGTTTCCACTTAACCATCCTCTGGGACCCAGACTGATGTGAAATCACCATCTGGGATGTTGCCAATTGCCAAAACAGAAGGAAGTCCAATGACAGGTCTCATATTAGCAAGTCATATTTTGCTAAGTGATATGCATCACATCTGATCTCAATTCATTAGTTAGACTTAGTCCCAAAACCTAACCCAGTCATAAGGGGGTCAGGAAGTTCAAGCCTACCCACATGCCTAGAAGGGGAAGAACCAGAAATATTTGTCGAACATGAAAACTAGTGTATATGATTTTCTTTAAATTAAAACAGGGTTAAAAAAAAAAAAACAAAAACATTTTGGCCAGGTGTGGTGGCTCATACCTGTAATCCTAGCACTTTGGGAGCCAAGGCAGGTAGATTGCTTGAAGCCAAGAGTCTGAGACCTGCCTGGGCAACAAAGTGAGATCCCCACCCACCATCTATGCAAATAATTTAAAAAACAGCCAGATGTGGCGTGCAACTATAGTCCTGCTACTGGAGAGGCTGAAGTGGGAGGATCCCTTGAGCCCAGGAGTTGGAGGCTGTAGTGAGTTCTGATCTCTACCGCGCTCTAGCACTGGTGACGGAGAATACCTGTCTCAAAAAAACTTTTTTAATTAATTTTTTTAAATTGTAGAAGCTGTGGAATAGATTGTATATATTGCAGTATAAAAGTTATAAGTTGGTTTACCTTGGCCGGGTGTGGTGGCTCACACCTGTAATCCAAGCACTTTGGAGGCCAAGGCGGGCGAATCACCTGAGGTCAGGAGTTCAAGACCAGCCTGACCAACATGGTGAAACCCCGTCTTTTTTAAAAAAAAAAGAAGAAGAAGAAGAAGTTGGTTTACCTTTAGGTAGGGAACTATTGAAAAAATGACTGGTGGGCAGGTAAAAAAACTAGTAAGAGTTAGATGCTGGTTATCTTTTTTTTAGCGATGGAGTTTCTCTGTGTTACCAATGCTGATCGCAAGAAGCAATCCTCCCATCTCGGCTTCCCAAGTAGCTAGGATTTTATTTTTATTTATTTATTTTTTTTTTTGAGACAGAGTTTCGCTCTCGTTACCCAGGCTGGAGTGCAATGGCGCGATCTCGGCTCACCGCAACCTCTGCCTCCTGGGTTCAGGCAATTCTCCTGCCTCAGCCTCCTGAGTAGCTGGGATTACAGGCACGCGCCACCATGCCCAGCTAATGTTTTGTATTTTTAGTAGAGACGGGGTTTCACCATTTTGACGAGGATGGTCTCGATCTCTTGACCTCGTGATCCACCCGCCTCGGCCTCCCAAAGTGCTTGGATTACAGGCGTGAGCCACCGCGCCCGGCCCCAGTAGCTAGGATTTTAATGTGAGCCACTGCTTCAAGCAGATGCTGATTATCTAATGGAAGAATGTACTTCTGACATTTTAATGTTTGCCCATCTGCAGTATCTCACGCCTGTAATCCCAGCAGTTTGGGAGGCTGAGGCAGGAGGATTGCTTGAGACCAGGAGTTTGAGACCAGCCTGGGCAACCTGGTGGGCCCTCATCTCTACAACAACAACAATAACAAAATCAGCCAGGCGTGCTGGTGCATGCCTGTAGTCCCAGCTACTCGGGAGGCCAGGGCAGGAGGATCACTTGAGCCCAGGAAATTGAGGTAGCAGTGAGCTGTGTTCCTACCACTGCAGTCTACCCTATAATAATAATACAGTGAGACCCTGTATCTTAAAAATAAGTTTAAAAAAATTGGCCAGGCATGTTGGCTCACACCTGTAATCCCAGCACTTTGGGAGTGCCAAGGCGGGCGGATCACTTGAGCTCAGGAGTTTGAGACCAGCCTGGGCAACATGGTGAAACTCCATCTCTACTAAAAATACACACACACAAAATTAGATGGCTGTAATGGCATGCACCTGTAGTCCCAGCTACTCAGAAGGCTGAGGCACAAGAATCACTTGAGCCTGGAAGGTGGAGGTTGCAGTGAGCCAAGTTCCCATGCCACTATACTCCAGCCTGAGCAGCAGAATGAGACTCTGTTTCAAAAAATAATAGGGCCGGGAGCGGTGGCTCAAGCCTGTAATCCCAGCACTTTGGGAGGCCGAGGCGGGTGAATCACGAGGTCAAGAGATCGAGACCATCCTGGTCAACATGGTGAAGCCCCGTCTCTACTGAAACTACAAAAAATTAGCTGGGCATGGTGGTGCGTGCCTGTAATCCCATCTACTCAGGAGGCTGAGGCAGGAGAATTGCCTGAACCCAGGAGGCGGAGGTTGTGGTGAGCCGAGATCGCGCCATTGCACTCCAGCCTGGGTAACATGAGTGAAACTCCGTCGCAAAAAAAAAAAAAACAAACAAACAAAAAATAATAAGAAGAAAGTTAAAAAAAATAAAGTTATGAAGTAACACAGAAGTATAATGGTCTGTGAGATTACTCTGAGGAAGTAAGAGAAGTATAGTTAATACAAAACAGTGGTCCACTCAGAATCACGTAGACTTGACTCTAAAATGCACATGCAGCCAGGTTCTTAAGCAGGAGTGTCCACCCCAACACCCCTAGGAGATGTTATCAAGCTGTGTCTGTAGCCAGCTCAGCCCCATAGCTCCTGTCCAGCCTCTCCACCCTTCTCCGAGGGTTCCTCTGCCAGTGTCTAGTCTTAAATCAGCCAGCATTCATAAATAAAGAAACAGAAGTTAAGCAGGTTTGACTAGTGAACTGGGAAAGACCAATAGGTTCTAAGTTCACTTTACAGTCTCCAGTTAGGAGTGGGTTTTCCTGTCTGCTGATGGGTAACAGGAAAAAAAAAACCTCTGTCTGTTGCCCTCTGCCTGTTGCCCCCTGCCTGTTCTCTTGCTGTAAGGCCTCAGTATAAAGGTTTGGTAGGACAATAATGTCTGCTGAAAGCAATGAAGTGCCATGGAATGGTATTGCCAGCCTGCTGGGGCTGGAGGGCCATATCACCGTCCTGCCGCACTTGGTCGACGACAGCTTTGTGGGGAGACTCAGTGTGGGCATCCTAGGGGAACAGAAAGAGCTGTCGCCAGATGACACACCCTAAATGCCAGGGGGATCTTTTGGAAAATTGTGTATATACAAATAAGGGGGAGAAATGTCAAAGATTTGTTCATTTTTACAAGTCTGTTTTGTGGGGGAGGGAGGCATTATTTTCTTTTTTTAAACCAGGTTAACTTGATTTAACTCACTCTGACAAGAGATGCATGTGGAAATAGTTTCAAAATTTTAAACGAATTTATAATTACAAAACATGATAAAAAATACACATAGCATTTGTAGTGGAAAAAATGGAAATCTTGCAAGAACAGAGAACAAACAGTATTATCTATTCTCATTTAGTAACAGCACATCTTAAAATTATTCCTTTGATACATTTTTAATTGAGAAAAAAAATTCTTCCTACTACAGAGAAGTACATGTCCATCTTAGATTAGGAAATATAGGTAAGCAAAGAACAAAGGAGCTGGTGCTGTCCTGCCATCCAGAGTTACCTCATAGTTAGAGCTTCCTGCTCATCCCTCTCCTTTTTCTGTCCATACATACTGTTTTTCTTTTTTTTTTTTTTGAGACGGAGTTTCGCTCTTGTTACCCAGGCTGGAGTGCAATGGCGTGATCTCGGCTCACCGCAACCTCTGCCTCCTGGGTTCAAGCAATTCTCCTGCCTCAGCCTCCCGAGTAGCTGGGACTACAGGCGTGCACCACCATGCCCAGCTAATTTTTGTATTTTTAGCAGAGACCGGGTTTCACCATGTTGGATGGTCTCGATCTCTTGACCTCGTGATCCACCCACTTCAACCTCCCAAAGTGCTGGGATTATAGGCGTGAGCCACCGTGCCCGCCCCATACATACTTTTTTTAAGCAAAAGTTAGGATCATTTTGTCATCTGCTTTTTTTCATTTAATGTCAGAAACTCTTTGTTATGTCAAAAATAATATTCTTTGAGTAATTTTTAAATGATTCATACTATTTCATTGTATAGCCATATTCCCAGAGGAATTTAAAAGGCAGTCCAAAAATTAATTTATTGATTAAAAAAACAAAAGCTAGCAAAAATAAAATTAGTCATAGATATTTTTTAAATTTTAATTTGTTTTGGCCGGGCGTGTTGGCTCACACCTATAATCCCAGCACTTTGGGAGGCCGAGACGGGAGGATCCCTTGAGCCCAGGAGTTCAAGACCAGCCTGGGCAACATAGTGAGAAAGCCAGACATGGTAGCATGTGCCTGTAGTCCCAGCTACTCAGGAGGCGGAGGTGGGAGGATAGCTTGTGCCCAGGAGGTCGAGGCTTCAGTTGAGCTGTGTTCGCACCGCTGTACTCCATCCTGGGCGACAGAGCAAGACCCTGTCTCAGAAAAAAAGAAAATCAGTTTGTTTCTAGTTTTAGAATTTGAAAGATAATAAAAGAAGAAAATTTAGGTTTCTTATTCTGTCATTTAAAGATGTCATTGTTTTTGTTTTCCTTTCAGTTCTTTCCCCCTTGTGTGTATATGTGTATGTGTGTGTATGTTAAAAGCAAAACTGCTCATTAATTTTAAAAAAAATATTTAAAAGCCTTTTGTGCCATACATTTGAAAATTGGGGAGGAGGTCTTGTCTTATATTGGGGTTTGCTGAGATTCTCTGAGTCTGATCCCAGAGACAGCAGAGAGGGAAATAAAGGACTGTGGGCCTTGGCCTCTGTGCCGCCGCCCTTCCCTGGAGCAGGGAGAAGGAAGGGCTGCTAATAGCCCTGAGTCTACTGCAAAGGCAGGCCAAAGGGAGGGGAAGTCCGTGGCAGTGGGAGATGGAATTGTACCCAACTAGGATTATGTCGAGAGCAGAGGAAGTCATTTACACTCTCTAGGGAGGAGATGGACCTGAGGCAATTAGAATTTTTCCACCTCTAACTTTAGTGATTCTTTTTTTTTTTTTTTTTTGAGACAAGAGTTTCGCTCTTGTTGCCCAGGCTGGAGTGCAATGGTGCGATCTCAGCTCACCGCAACCTCCGCCTCCCCGGTTCAAGCAGTTCTCCTGCCTCAGCCTCCTGAGTAGCTGGGATTACAGGCATGTGCCACCATGCCCGGCTAATTTTGTATATTTAGTAGAGATGGGGTTTCTCCATGTGGGTCAGGTTGGTCTCGAACTCCTGACCTCAGGTGATCTGCCCACCTCAGCCTCCCAAAGTGCTGAGATTACAGGCGTTGAGCCACTGCGCACAGCCATTCTTTTTTTTTTTTTTTTTTTTTTTTTTAAGCCAGTCTTGCTCTGTTTCCCAGGCTGGAGTGCAGTGGCACAATCTTGGCTCACTGCAAACTCCCTCTGCCAGATTCAAGTGATTGTCGTGTCTCAGCTTCCTGAGTAGCTGGGATTACAGGTGTCTGCCACCACACCTGGCTGGTTTTTGTGTTTTTAGTAAAGACAGGGTTTCACCATATTGGCCAAGCTGGTCGTGAACTCCTGAGCTCAGGTGATCCACCCATCTCAGCCTCCCAAGGTGCTGGGATTACAGGCACCTGCCACCACACCTGGCTGATTTTTGTATTTTTACTAGAGATAGGATTTCACTGTGTTGGCCAGGCTGGTGTCGAACTCCTGAGCTCAGGTGACCCACCTGCCTCAGCCTCCCAGAGTGCTGGGATTATAGGCATGAGTCACCGTGCCTATAAGAATATAAGAATATAAGAATGTCATCATTCTTACATTCCTGCCAACTTCTATTTCATGTGTCTTTCACTCTGGCACAAACATTTACGAAAATTGATCACATGGCTTCAATGTAAATTAACTAGGTGAGGCCCAGCCTTGCCAGCTTTAACCACTTGGGCACCATCCAGGGACCTCCCTGTTCTGTGAGTTGCCCCTCTGGCTGGTACTCACTGTGTGTGCGTGCCTCTCTGTCTTGCCTCGCCCACCCCCCAGGGTTCTGGCTGGTGTGGACCATCATCATCATCCTCAGCTGCT